GGGGGGGGGGGGGGGAGGAGGAGGGAGGCAGACGGTCGGTCGGTCGCTTCGAAGAGCTGAAAACAAGGAAGAACAAGATCAAAAACCAAACAACCAGGGGCTTGTGCAAATAGTTTTTGAACTTGTCTCTCTTTGTTTACAGCCCTTCGAAGGGGCTGACCGACCGTCTGCCTGCCTCCTCCCCCTAGCACTGCCTCGGCACGCCGGCACGCACGCCAGCGGACTATGAAAGCAGCCTTACTGGAGATCGATGTCGCCAAATGCCTAAGCCTGAAAAAAACTAAAGTACGCTGGCTGAAAAGCAGAGCAATTCCATAAACTACATAGTTTTCGAGACGGACCTTTGATTGTCTCACTTTCATAGAGTTGCAACGATGTATTTATTGAAATCATCTCATTGCTACAATTCCACACAGAATTCACAAGTACCTTAATGGCTAACGTTTTAGGTAAATCGCCTTCCTCGTAGTCTGGAAGGATTGAATCCCCCTATGAAGTTACCCAATCATACATCTTAACACCTTACAAGACCTTAATCTTATTTTCGCATAACTTCACTGTATGACGTCTCAACTTAGAGACCTAGATGTTTGAAGTCAACTTTATAGAGTTTATAGAGTCTATATGGAGCATGGGCCATGAAATATTTCCATAAAAGCCGAAATATACTGCTGCTACGGAGGTTACGTTAGAACTTCTTTCCCAGCATGACAACACAGTCAATACGTATGAGCCTTCAAATAGGCAAATAATCGTTCCTCTAAAAGAGTTTCCCTACTGTAATATCTCGAGGTGGACGGGAAGGTCTTACACGCTAAGTATAGACCCCGTTTTGGGACGACGGCTGCCGCCCAATCCGGCCACTGTTTTCATGGCCACAATACAGTGTGCGCCATAAATACGGTGACAAAGTAATTGCTGTGCAGAAGCTGCAATTCGTATTGATACATGGTGAATTTATGTGACTTTTGTCATGCATCACATCAACAAAATGAACGCATGGTCATCTGATATAACCGTCTCCTGTACTAATCATAGCTCAAAGACGCTTCGGCTACTCATCAACGGCGGGCACGCATAGTGTCTTGAGAAACTTCAGTCCGCGCTTTCTCCAACGATTTCTCAGAAGCAGCAACAGTGGTGTGTTTTGAATCGCAGGCTTACCTCTCCACTATACACTGTGCCACGGATCCATTGTATTGCGGACCGAAAGATTCTTAGGCCATCTGGAAGCAACGGTGAAATTGCGAACGTCTCCTCGACACCAGTCTTGCTTTTTTTCCATTCGTGAGCAAGTACGCGAGTGTCTCGAGTTCTATCCCTGGAATAATCTTCGGCCTTAAGCACCACCTTCTCAGAAACGTCTCTTATGAAGGTGTTCTGTTCATTTTTTATGCTTTTCTCAACAAAGTAATAAGCGATATCGCTCTAAGGGCACAGATTCCAGTCCCAGCAATCGTAGAAGAGGAAAATGGCTACGAAAAATTACCTGTCCCTTCTCATTCTCTTCACCACTTTGGCGAGAATTATATGTAGTGTACACCGAGTTCTGAACATTTCTTCCACGCTGAACACTTTTTTATTTGACAGAAGAAATCCTCTCAAAGAGGTGCCGCGTGCGAATAAGGCACGGCTTTTGTTATTTCTCGCAACATCTTGTCAAAAAGTTCCTTGTCAAGAAGTTCGAAATCTGTCTAGATACAATTGTATTCATTCTGGGAAGACTTTTTATCCATGTACAGGGTGCGCCATAAATATGGTAACAAAGTAATCGTGGTACAAAAACCGCATTTTAAATCGATACAAGATGAACTCATGTGAAATATTTGCTAAACATTACATCAACAAAACAAACACACGATCATTCAATATGTCCTCCTCCTTTACGAATTATGGCTCGAAGACGCTTCGGGTACGCATCTATGGCGGCACGCAGAGCTTCTTGAGGAATTCTATCACAGGCTTTCTTCATTGATTCTTTGAGAGCAGCAATTGTGGCATGTTTTGAAGCGCAAGCCTCCCTCTCTAAAATGCCCTATACGCAATAGTCCATCGAGTTACAGTCGGGGGAATTTGCTGGCCAATCGGAAGCAGCAATGAAGTCCGGTACATTTTCTCGGCACCAGTCTTGCGTCCTCCTTCCTTTATGAGCTGGTGCTCCGTCTTGTTGAAGAGTCCAAACCGTATCCTCGAAGTGATCTTTGGCCTATGGCAGTACCTTCTCGAGAATGTCATTTATGTAGATATCCTGGTTGATTTTAGCTCCTTTTTCAACAAAAATAAGCGGTGTACGTCCGGTGGCGCATATCCCAGCCCAAACCATCACGGAAGAAGCAAAATAGCTACGAAAAACGACTCGACCTCTTTCATCGGCTTCGTGGCTCGAAGTGGCGAGTATCCGTGTGTTCTGGGGGTTGAATTTTTCTTCCACGCTGAAAAGCTTCTCGTCAGTGAAAAATGTGACGAGGTGCGTGCCACGCTTAAGGAGAGCACGACACTTCGTCTTGTCAAAAATGCTATGAAGCTTTCGGAGCCTATAAGGATAAAGATTTAGTTGCTCTCGGATGACTCTTCTCATCGAAGTAGACGACACACCCAATTCGGCAGCCATTTTTCTCATGCTTCTGCATGGTTCACGGCGCAGTCTTTCCTTGATCATTTTCCTTAAGCGAGGGGTCGTGACTGAGACGGGCCGACCGGATCGAGGCTTATCATTGACCAACCCGCGCTTCACAATTCGATGGACGGTCGTGCGAGGAATATTGAAGCGACCAGCGATCTTGGAAATCGGTTCACCAGAATCGCGCAGAGACAGGATGGCAGCTCGATGAGGACAAGGTTTCACCATTTTTCGAGAACTGATGATGTAGCCACAGGAAAGCAGATATGATAGCTAAGGTATATTGCGAGTGTAATGGAATGAACATGTTTTGAAAAGTTCGTTAAAGAAAGATGTTACGCTCCTGCGTAAAGTTGTTACCATATTTATGGCGCACCCTGTTTTAGAGAACTTTCAATTCGGCAGCCACTTTTCTCGTGTTTCTGCATGTTTGTAGCTTAATCATTTCCAAGCGATTGTGTCCGGAAAAGAGGTTGTAATCGAGACAAGAAGGTCATTTTGAAGCCGGTCGTCGACCCGTCCACGCGATGCAAGAGACTGTCAGGCGGGAAATATCGACGAGCGATCCCGAAATGGGCATCGCTCAACGTACGCAATGACGGAATCGCTGGATGATCGCGAAGCTTCACCGTTTGTCGAAAACTGAAAATTCAAGAGCACAAAACAGACATGTAAGCTGACGTATATGATAAACATAAGGGAAGGTGCAGATTTGGAAAAAACTCTCCGAAAACGTTTTCGCGAACTTCCTTCAAATTGTTACCATATTTATGCGCACCTTGTAAAAACGCTTGTACTTGAACGTTTACCCAAGTGCTGTATTGCCTATACTTCGACGATATCGATATCGGTTGATTTATCGTTCTTTTACAGTCCACGCAGAAAAAGGTGTTCCGATGTTCTGAGCTATCGAATGCGCAGACTGAGCACGTGAAACTTGTCGTTAAGAAGCTCTCCCGAATTTGACCGCTTTTACTTTATGTTCAGGAAGGGCTTGAGAGGACTGATTATTGCAGAAATCGTACCGATAGCAGAACGATAGAAACATTGTTTGTTGGAAGTGAGTGCATCCACTCCGGAAAAACGAGCAGCGATCAGTAGAATGCTTGAAATCACTGCAGGTGAACTGCTCTGGAGGAGACGAGAGAAAAATGGTCCGGGATTATTGCACGCAGCATTGCTGAGCTCAACGAATAAAGCCTGTCATCGTCATGTACAGACTGTCATCGTCATTTCGGAAAACGAGAGATGTTAAAGCCGAGGCCAACAGGCCTAGGAGTGATTTCCCACATGCGAAAATCTCAGTTGTGATGCTCTTTGCCTTTGATGAAGTGGACTGTCCCGTAAAAACCCGGTTGAAAACATGGGGGAGTAAAACATGTTGGTATTGAAGGCATTCCTACCGACAATTTAAGTGCCGTTTGGTTTGTAGCTGTTCCTACAATGCAACTTCTATTTGTGCCATCTGTTCTACTGGTTGGAAGGGTACTTGTAGTGTAGCTGCTGTGCTCTACAGGATCATTTGCCAGGACTGTGGAGATGAGTATGTAAGCTATCAAATGGAAGAACTAGGCACAGTCGTCATTCACCTTAAGGTTGTCCCAGGGTGCACTCTCACAATGAAGACAACTTAGGGGTCACGATCGAGTCTTATAGCATGAAATACAAATAGCCGCGAGGAAGGCTTTGTAGGCATTTGGATCCAGGTCGCAAATTCAAAAATGAACAGAAAATGGAAGTGCGTGTGTATTAGGCGTGAGCTCATCCCCTGAAGCTTGGTCGTTGATCATACTCTTTGGACTCTAGACAATCGATTTTATCATGGCTTGCGAGGACAGGTTCTGTAAACCAGGATGGTACGGCGCTTTTATGAGTGGAATTGTGTGATATTAGTTAATCTCGAAGTCTTGTAATATTTTGAAACATTGGTCGGGCAAGTTTGTAAGTTGTTTCTACCTTCTCAGAATCCGAAAACGTCGTGTGAGAATGTATCATTAAGTTGATTTCAATAATAACGCCGAAGTTTATGGAAAGTCGCACTCGGTATTTATTCAATTAACAGTAATTCCGTTATCGTAATGAAGTCTCACTCTGTGGATTTGTGAACTGCGGGCGTAGACGAATAGACGCGCTGGAATCGAGAGGTCTTTTTTGCAAATGCTGGCCGCTGTGGAGAATTTGAACTGTATCCGTAAATTCTTTTCTGTTATGTTTTGAAACAGTTTTTGGGATCCTTGGGATCAGTAATCACGCTTATATCTGCATTATTTTTACAGTCACGCTCAATTTCGAAAGTCAAAGTCGTGAGCAACATGAACTCGATGATATCGAGCAGCGATATGAATCTGTTAAACGAAATTCGGGAATTTTACGGCTAAAAGGTACGCGTAAAATACCAGAGTCAATAAATTGCTTGAATAACTGTGCTTGTTTCAAGGCTTTTTTTCTGGGATTCATTTGTTTTGTGTTACAGGTGAAGTGGTGAGAGCAGATTTCCAGGACTTGCAATTTATTTCTGATATTGGAAATGGTAGCTGTGGACGTGTCTCTAAGATGAGCTACAGAGGTCACGTTATGGCTGTTAAGGTGTTTGAGCTTAGCATCCTTCAGTATTTGAATCTCAATGATCGTAATCATAACAGGACATGGTTCGAACATCAAACAAAGAGGATAACAAACGCATTATTATGGATTTGGACGTGATTTCACGTGCAGAAGCGTCTCGTCACATAGTTTTGTGTTATGGGTACTTCATATCTGAGGTATTTACATGTGCACCATAAGTTCAACTTAGCTTGAACAGTTGTCCTCACTCGGTGCTTAGGATGCAAGACGCTTGTTTTTTATATTCACTGTCTTCTTTTAACTTGAAAACAAAGCTCGTGGGTCTCAATTTCTTATTCTCGTTTTCGATTTGTTAGTCTGCCCAAATCTAATATATTTAAGAACTTTTGCTATTGGAGACCGCCATTTCTGGAGAGATGCAAGAGAAAAAGAACTATTGTTAGAACTACTCCACTTTTTTCTACGGGTACTGCTACGTATTATCTAAATTGATCTCGCTGTACGAGTAGCTCGCAGAGAAGACTGAACTGACGTTTGAAGTAGTGGTTACTTTCTAGGGATGTGTAGTCAACTTCTCGTGGACTTTGAGTTTAGACATTGATATGAGTTTCCCAAAAAAGTTACGAACCCCAAAAAATTCACCCGGAAATAGTGTCTATTGAAAACGCGTCGTTGAAGTATAATATCGAGTGCCTACGTGGTTTGGTAGTAGTGCCATCGTTTTTCAGGGGAAGGGTGTGGGTATGCTCCTCGTCACAGTCGAAATTTCTGCACAGGTTTCCTTCATTCTAATAAAGACTTTTACAACCTTTTTCCTGACATTTAATTGACTGGGCCCCTTTTTTTGGCTGTCGATTACTCTTGTCATGCTTATTTAAACAGAATGGTGCGGGTAGTGGATTGTAGATCTCTGTTCCATTTGAACACTGAAAGACCTTCAGCGGGAGTTGCCCTCGAACGGATGCCTGTGAATAACTCAATATTGACGGAACACTAAAAATATTTGAAACGAACATGTTATTCAGAGATTTCTCATGTTATACAATTGTTACAGCGTCAGAACCCTAGACAAAATCAATCGTCTCAAAACTGAACAAATCCCCGCCAAGAGTTACAAATAGGCTTGTGTGATCGGCAACCTACACTGCCTTGTACCACGAGTGGTGCAAAAACCTTGAAAAGGGAGGGCAACATCCTACTATATACAACGCGCTAGTGTCCGTGTGTGTTTGTGTATGTAAGTGTGTTTGCCCAAGCGGAATTCATAAGTACTATTCCCGCGGACCTGGAGCCTTCAAACTTGGTAGGACTACAGGCAGCAGGATGGGCAGGACCGAACTCCGCTCACAAGGGCCGGGGTTTGCGCGAAAATTGCCAATTTGGCCTTAAAGAGTTAAAATTTTGTAGGAGTACATGCGGTAGGCTTACGACCGCTCAAGGTCGAAGAAAAGTGGAGGTCTCCGACACACCAAGTTGCTGCTTTATGAATAAGAGATATTACCCTCAATTGGTCGCTATCACTGCACTTACCCTTCTTTTTGGATGAACATCAAGTGAATCTTGCTCTAAGGCCTCCTCTTTCGTCAGTTTTCCCATCCTGCCTCCTCTACTCCTACCAATTTTGAACTCTCCAAGTC